CTCAGTCATGTTCATGAGCTCCTGATAATCTGCGAAGGCCATGTAAAACTCGCAGGACGTGAACCTGCACATAGAACAGATAGCCCTTGGCTTCTTTTCTAACTGACTTCGGTTTGTCTCAATATAAGTCCACGCCTCCCCCAAGAAAAAAATGAAAGAATAAGTTTCTGTCAACGCACGCCAACCACCCACCCCAGCCCTTTCGACACCCGAGGTGGGGGTACACATACGGGTGCATGACAGGCTATCCATGTCGGAAGTTCAAGGAAGCCCAAGGTCTGAAGTGCATGTGATTTCGAATTGGGCGCCGTTTGGTGGACATCATTCAGGTGGGAATTGATCTTTTAAGAGGGCTCCCATTCTAGTTCATGGCCAATCAGAGCCAAATCCCGCTTAGCAGCTCTGGGTTGTGCGTCAAGTCGATGCCCTCGTTGCGGAAGTTCCGCCCGATCTCAAACACGCGGTCCAAGCCACCGATAACGAGCCTGGAGGTGGCTCACACGCGGCTGCATGTTGCCCGTGACAGCACTCCGCCAAAAGCAAGCATACGTTCGATTTGCTTAACCAAAAGCTGATGATTGAAGTTGTCGAAAAGGACATACAGCTGCTCCCTCACCCCCAAAAGGATAGAAAACCAAAAGCTTGCCCGAGGCGCATCTTCAGGTAGAGCTCTGGCGCAACTCTCATGTACCTTAGGCGATCGGTTGATTGGGAGTTAAAGCTGCGCAATCCGGTACTTGGCAGGCTTGCGCATTTGTTTTGCTCGCTAAGGTGCCGGACTTTGCGTTTGCTATGCCTGAACAGGAAACCGGCTCCAAGCTGCAGACGCAGATCTGCTCTTCGGGGAGAAACAGGGCCCAAGTCCCCTTGGCACAGTGTTTACTTGGCCAAGTGACACCCGAAGCGGAAAATGAGACCCGCTGAGCCTCTACAGTCAAACTTTGAGGAGGGAAAACCCATCCCCCGTTGGGATTCTCCTGTCCCACATAAACCTGAATACCCGTGATCACCCTTGCAATCACTACATGTCGACTGGAGCTCAGGTCAGCAAAGAAAAACACCCTTTGCAAGGGCGACTCTCCTTGCCGTGAAGAAGAGCCTCAAAACTGAAAAAACGCGCCACGCGCACACCCGCACCCACACCTTCCGAGGTGGTAGATGTGGACACGTTTTTGAAGACACAAACATTTGGGCCCAATGACTCAGCTTTGCAAAATCAGGTCCACACACAAACTGACAGCAGCAGAATGACACTTGGGCTTTGCTGCGTCATGTTTCCTTCCCTTGAACACTACCCCGAAAAGAGTTCGCCCTCAAAATCCGACCAACGGGCCCTTACCGAAGGCTTCCCCAAGGCTCAGGGAAAACACTGGGAAACCAGGCCTTCCCTGTGTGGTACAACACACAAAACTTTCAAACTCTGTCTGGAAGCACGGCCCCAGAGTTTATGCGGCATTAGACTCTCGGTTCGGTGGTCAGAATGTACCCGTTTGAGGGCTCCACATGAATCCGAACCCTAAGCAGGTCTCTATTGACCATAGCACAAATGCAGACTTCAGCGAGGTTCTTGTTCCAATTTGGGTTTGTACATGATAGGGCCGTGACCCCATCTGCAAAGGCAAGGGGGTAGAGAAAGCCCGATGGCAGCATGAAACCTGCCGTGGGTCAAAAGCAAGCACTCTACTGGGATGGAGAAGACAAAGAAGAGATTTAGCAGGAAATCTAGAGAAGAGCAGAAGAGAACGTAGAGGAGAGACCACTGCAGGAAGACAAGAAGACACCAAAAGAGAGAGCAAAGGCAACCCAAAAGGAGACCACAAAAGAGACACCCAACGGAAGCCCAGCAGAAAGAACAAGCGAAGAAGGAAGGACAGAAAGACGGAAAGACAGAGAGACGGAAAGATGGAAAGACAGAAAGACAGAAAGTCTGAAAGACAGAGTCTCGGAAAGACGGAAAACAAAAAGACAGAAAGGCAGAAAACACAAGCACAGAACGACAGAGAGACTAAAAGACACAAAGAAATGAAAGAAAAAAGAAGGACAGACAGACAGACACAGACAGACAGAAAGAAAGAAGGAATGCAAGAACGCAAGAAATAAAGAATGAAAGAAAGAAAGAAAGAAAGAAAGAAAGAAAGAAAGAAAGAAAGAAAGAACGCAAGAAAGAAAGAAAGAACGCAAGAAAGAAAGAAAGAAAGAAAGAAAGAAAGAAAGAAAGAAAGAAAGAAAGACATAAAGAAACAACAAAAATAACGAAATAACAAAAAAGAAAGGAAAGAAAGACGGAAATAAATGCAGAAAGAAAAATAAACAAGTAAAGAAATAAAGAAAGAAAAATGTGAGAAACCACAGGAAAACCACAGGTGACAAGATTGTTGGGTAGAAAGTAAGAAAGACAAATAGATAGGTCGATAGATGGAACGAAGGCAACAAACAGACAGAACAAGATAGATATAGAAGGATAGAAAGGAACACAACCAACCAGAAAGACACACATGTACAATGAGAAAACACACACACATGTCTATATATTTACATACGGCCGTATACATATATAGATATATATAAAATGCACCTATAGATATACATACATCAAGAGAAACCAACGTGCTTGCGGCGGGGGTCGTTGCCGCACTTACAAGACCTTCGCTTCTTCACATGGCCAGTTGCACATTTGACTTGTGGATGGACATAGCTTGACAAAAACCAGCGCGGCAAATCTCCCCCGTTCACCCAACATGTGGGAACAGAAGCAAATCAGAACAAATGAACAAACAAACGAGCGAAAGAAAGAACAAAAGAAAGAAAGAAAGAAAGAAAGAAAGAAAGAAAGAAAGAAAGAAAGAAAGAAAGAAAGAAAGAAAGAAAGAAAGAAGCAAGGAGAGGACAGAACAAAACAAAAAAAGAAAGAACAAAAACGATAGCAAACACACAAAGGACACAATTAATAATAAACAAAATAAGTCAACAAGAACAACCTGGAAAAAACCAAATAAGGAAAGAACGAGCAAAACAACAACACATAAGTACATATAGAAATACACAAGGAACAAGCGACAGGCAAAAGGATATCAATAAAGACCGACCGAAGGACATGCCTAAACACATTATCAAAGAAATATCGAAATAATACAAACACACACACACACGCAAAGAAACACACACACACACACATAGCTGACTCGTTCCGCCAGCTTTTCAGCCAGGATAGGTTCGAAGCTTTGCGAAGTGGCTATCATCAGATTCTCTGAGTGACAGCCCCGAGCACCAAGGTTCAAAAGAAGGCCTTCCCTCCCTCACCAATTTGGGTGGGTGGGCTGGGTGACTTGAGCATGAGTGTTCATGCGGCTTATCTGATGAAACTGCACCGTCAATCTGGTTTGAAAACTTGCATGACTCGTTCCGCCATCTTTTCAGCCAGGATAGGTTCGAAGCTTTGCGAAGTGGCTATCATCAGATTCTCTGAGTGACAGCCCCGAGCACCAAGGTTCAAAAGAAGGCCTTCCCTCCCATGTCAGTAGATATAAGCCAAGGAGTAAAACATTCAGAGAAGGCCTCACTCCCATATCTGCAGCACCGCTGGCTAGGATAGCCGATTTGCAAACCGGCTGGCAACTCGACTTGCCTCCACACCAAAAAAAACCTGGGCCAACCGTTGGCACAGTTTAACTGGATAGGCTTGCGCAGCTTTGGTACGCCATTGTCCTGCTGGAGTGAGCCCGCATAGCTGAACATGTGGTTTCCCTGTTCGATGGCAGAGACCCCGCTTTGCACCCAAACATCGAAACTGCTGAAGGAAATCCAAGCAAATGTGTGTTGCTAAGACACCAGTGGCCTTCCGCCACGCACATCCAAACATACACATCTCGAAGATGGCGAAGTCAGTGTTTCTGCAACGCTGCAAACGTAGCATGGCTGGACAAAGCCATATCCGGGACCTAGCAGGATTTTCCATTGTGAAGGGTATCATCAGCAGGAGCGCCAGTCTCATCAAACTGGCAGAGAAACGCATGTAAAAATTGCCATCCAAAACCTTTTGCAGATTTGCCCCCTGAAGCGAGGGAAGACCCATGACATGCATGTCTGACCGAAGAGGTGGTGGTCCAGGTGGATGATCTCGAGCTCTTGAGAATGTGCTGCAGGGAGTGCCAAGATGACCTCCCCGCACCTTTCCGCTACGGAGCCAACCAAAGATCTGACGATTGCGCAAAATACGCAAGTCATACCAGTCATTGGCCTTGGAAATTGTGCGCCCCAAAATTCCGCACCCGCTCAAAATCTCAATGAAGACGGGTAGCACCAAGGATGCAGCAACACTCAAAGCCCCCCTTGCAGAGTGCGTTGAAGGCGATTTGCGGCGTCGACGCACCTTTGCTGAACGTCTCCTGGAAGAGCTTGGAACACTTGGGCTAGGCGTCCCCCCTTTTGGTACCTGCGGGTGGAGTTCATGCTCTTCCACCTTCCTCTCTGCTGCACCGAAGCCAGCTGACGGAACTTGTTGACATAGTCGTGCAAAGCCCCTCCGTGACGAAAGCGATATGCATGAAGCCCCAACTTCTGAAGACCTAGACTTTCTTGTTGCGACTCCAGGAAGTGGTTCACCTCGGCGTTGCTGTGTTGAAGGATCACCTGGTTTTCGCGCAGCTTTCCCCCCTGAATGAAGCGCTGAATTGCCGCACCGATCCCTTGATGGTAATCCAAGTCCAGCAAGATTGTCTCGTCGTAGCCCTGTGTCTTTGACGGAATGCCAATCTCCTCGGGGTGTAGCACGAACCCCCATTGTTGGAACACTGCCCCACGTCCCATGACAGGCCGAAGGACATCGCACACTCGGATCCTCAGAGCTTCTGATGGCCTGAGGTACAACGTGAACATAAGCAGGAGATGTATTGCTATGCTGCACAACCGTTGCGCCAAAGCCTCCTCGACCAGAAGACATGTCACCTCCCAAGGCACTGGAAGGCGGCTGCGTTGCGGAGCCACCTTTCGCCACCCCTTCAAGGACTGACGGACCCGTGGAAGAAGGCTCGTGTTTGGCGATTTCAGCTCATGGTTGAAATACACGATCGCAGCCACCAAATACTGTCCCTTGCTGATGTCCTCCCCATCGTGGTTCAACTGATCCAGCTTTTCGCTTACCAGCTTGTCCACGACGTGCGCTGGCTTTAATTTGTTTCTCTTGTTGAGGAGGGCATGCTTCACCGAATCCCAGTAGCTCGTGTAACGACAAAGTGATTGCTTTGACACTGCTGCCGCCTCCAAGGATGTCATTTGCTTGGGATGAGGTGTCTCTATCCTTTTTCGATTCTGCGCTCTCATGTCCTTTCGCCCTCTGCTGCTGACCTTCGCGTTGGCTATCATGGCTTCTCCCTGCTGACAGTTGCCCGGCATGAAGACGAGGGGCTGGCTCTGCCTCCCTTGCGCGGTCTTTTGCTGTGACTTCTTCACTCTTGGTGCCCCCGACCATCGCAGAGGCTCCCGAAGAATGTTCTCCCGAAAGAGGACCATCGCCGAAAAACTGCTGTGGTGTTGAGGGTTGCCAATGACCACGTGAAGGGTTATCTGAGGGATTCCACTCACTAGGTATCCAGCGAATTGAAATCTGTGTATTGGATGCAAGTACCAATGACGCTATCTGACTGCAAACATGCCTGAGTCTAAACCCTTGAGCTCGTCCTCTGGAGATGGCGCACGTCGCGGTGAGGCTATCCGAAAGAATAAGATGCCGCTTGTTGAAGTTATCCCGTTTACGCAAGATATGCTTTACAGCAAACAGCGATGATCGAGCTTCGTAAACTGGCAATATCTCCCTGCGACCCCACCGTTTCATGCCAACCGTGCGCCACTCCCTGTCGACCGCGCTAAAGGGAACGTTGTTAAACCGTCTGTCATGCTCAATAAACGTTTCATCCCAAGGAACTTCTGTGTTGTAAAAGCCATGCAACCCAGGAGGACCTTCGATTTGCTCTTGTAGCACTTGCTGGCGTGGGTTGTCACCTTGTCCACCCTTGAACCGCCACCGTTCGTTGACCCGACCAAGCTGCTGCGCCATAGGAGTAGGAAGTGTAGACATAGTAGCCCCCATCCCCTGTTCCGAAGCGTCAACAGCATAAACCTTGGTGGACCAAGTAGAAGTGAGATCTCTGTGAATGAGTGGGATGATACCATCAAAGATGTCCAACTCCTTACGCACTGATTTCCAAACGCTGACCTCACCTGAGCAAAACTTGTACTTCTGAATGAAGGCGTAGACGTTTCCAAATACTGAAAAACACTCTCCGACCCAGGCATAAAAAGCTGCAGTGACCGATCAGCTTTTCCATCATGTGTGAGGTACATCGACCTCTACGCAGCAGTTCCCGAATTGCAAATCTTGTTCGCCAGGCACGGTGTGTTGAAGGCTGGAACTGACAATCATCTGTGATTTCCCAACCCAAAATTTTTCCACCATGCCCGACTTCCTCATCATGAACCTGCAGCCCAGATTGCTTCAAAACATCAACCGCTTTGTTGTAAGAATCCATCACCAGCTGTTTGTCTGTACCAATAACTATCATGTTATCAACATATTGTGTGTGACAACAGTCAGTAGTTGGTGCAACATGTCTACCTCGAATGCGATTGCTTTCATGGAGTCCAGCTTGTTCCGCCAGTGCTTCATGCGCCGATTGGCAAAGGAAGAGGGCCCGTGACCATCCCATGGGCACCACTGCTAGCCGCGGAGTCAACTTTCGTTTCGCACCAACTTGAACACCCCCAACCTGACTGATCCCAACAGAACCAGCGAGCACGGGACTCAAACAGAAATATTGACGAAGTTCAAGAGGAAGTGACAAGTGATAAAAAGCATCCTTAAGATCCGCTGTAGCAATGGTGACTGGCTGCCCTGCTGCGAACTCTAACCCACCAGGTCCTTCGCCTGTGGTGAGCTGTACGTGGTCGGGCTGCCTGAAGTGACAATTGCTTCTTCTAGCATCGACTATAAGCCTCAGGCGACCGTTTTTCTTGGTGACACAGAAAAAGGCTATCTCTTCGACACCGGCATCAGTGCTAAAATCAATGAGACCTGCCTCATGCAGTTTCTTCAAAAATTCATGGTACAGTCGCCCCTGTCGAAGCAGGGGATCAGAATACGGCCTCACCACCCCACTAGCCCTCAGCTTCACCCTTGATTCCTCCGGTGGCAAAAGCTGACTGCAGATGAAGTCGTTCATGCGCTCGCGACCGTCGCAGCCCCACAAGGCACACAGAGCCACTGGCGCCCAGCCCTTCTCGGGTAAAGAAACTGCTTCGATATCGAACAACGCCAATGACCCCGTAGGCTGGTCTCCACCAACATAGCCACTGGCGGTCCGGAGCATCCGCAAGGCCCCTGGACCAGAGAGATCATCGGGAGGCTTCCCCATGTTCTCAACCATGCAACGAACCCGTCAAACATGTCTTCCCCGGAGAAGGGCTTGCCCCTAAGAGGAACACCATACATTGAATTCAGCGCACCAATCGTGCGATCCACCTCAGCTTCGATGTGACCAGCATGCACATGTAGAGCTCGTCGGTAGCTTGAGCCCTTTGGCACGCCACTTCACCTGGTCGAGCCATTTCTGCACATGCCCAAACTCCGCACTTTCCATCTGCTCTTGATTTGAATCATCTTCGGAACCTCATCTGTGGGTCTTTCCTCCCCCCAAATCTTCTGAAACATCACATCCTCCACCCGAAGTCCAAACGTCTTACGGTTTCTTGCCATGCCCAGATGGGGGTGCGCCATGGAGATCTGCATGCAGTGGTCGCGGTCCTTCGCTGTCCAGTACACTCCTTTTTCGGCCACCAACGAACTGGGGTTTGACACCGGTCACCATCCGAGGCAAAGGCAAAAGATCCCTCGGCTTGCGAACATCATCATGCAAACGGGGCATGGACTGTTGAGCAGAAGTAGCCCCAACTCTTCTGCCCAGCCCTTCATCAAGGGGACGTCTTCACTTTGCTTCTTCTTCCCACCCTGGCGCCTGGCCAATTCTCTCTCTTCCCTTGCTTTCCGAAGGTTCTTAGCCAATGATGCGTCGCGCTCGACTTCAGATTTGACGTAGTCAAGCAGCTCTGGACAAATCATCAGGGTGCCCGCCTGGCGGGTCACCCCTCCGAATGTCTGTTGCTCTTCCAGGCTCATCCTGCCACCAACTGCCTTGCTTTCTTGTTCACGAGCACGGTCGGCATAGGCATACTCGATGGTTTGGAGGCGCCTGAAAATGACCTCGAGGAAGGTTGTTGTACCCATTCACCTGATCAACTTGCAACGCATGCTTGGCTATCATGCTCAGCTGGAAATGCTCCTGAACCCCCCAGCTGGAGGCTTCGATTTTGCATAGGTTCCTGAAGCGCTCATGGTGGCCTGCCAGGCCCAAGCCTTCCACAACCAGATAACTGACGCACCAGCGACTGGTACGTGGTCCAGTCAGGCTCCAGCCCACCTCGGTCTCCGTGAACTTCTTGGACACCTCTTTCAAGCTGCACTCCGGTTTTCCAAGGGCATCGACTTCTTGTGGCACAATTCGAACATCACACAGAGACGGCTTCTGCAGAAACTGAACTCGTTCCCCACCGTCAATGCATTCAACGAACATGCTTGTACCATCTGCCAGTGCGTGAATATGCTTGGCTCCTTTCACAGGGTTGGCACCAACCCCCAGGACTGTATCCCCATACCTGTATCTGCCAATTGTTTCCGCAGCTACCCAAAAAAGTGTACCTGCCACAGGACCCGCAGGAGCCGCCGCAACTTGAGCTCCTGGAGCAGGAGCTGCAATGCCTCTCAACCCGCGCTCGGCAGCCAACACCAGCAGACTCTCATCTCGTAGAGCCTGGAGCTCGGCGGCCGTGAAGGCCGGAAGCGGGTACACCTGAGCAGCTGCTACGCCGGCTGGTAACGCACGGGCGTTTGGCTTCACTCGGATTCCTTTCAAATCGGAGTTCAAAAGGCTGAGCTCCTCGTAGTGCACTTCCGAATCAGGGGTTGCCACCACATAGTCTTCACCAGCCATAAATTGCCAGAGATCCGGACCCGGAACATCATACAGAACCAGCACCCTTCTTTTGAGCAAGGACATCACGCCTACTTCTCGATCTTATCTCGGCCAACTGCCGATGCGCCAACCTTCTCCTTTCGTCCGCACTTGCTGGAGAGTCGTCTGATACCCGGTCTCGAAACACTGCTGTTGAGGACCTCGCCCGACACCAGCGATGCCAACACAGTACAACCAAACTCCCAGACACACTGAGTAGTGTGATTCCAAAGGCGAACTTGAACTCAAAACTGAATTGATTGACTGTTACCTCTGGGCAAGCTAAGTGATCTCTTACTCCCGCCAGGCACCTCTGCTCTGCGGTCCTCCCAGCCTCCTGAATGGCACTGATGACCGGCTGATCACTATGGTTCCAGGATGATAGGATATACCCAACCAGAGTGCTGAACAGGTGGCGCCAGTCAAAGCCCAGGCCACCACCACCCATGAGCGAGCCTATCCCGTTGTCTCCCCTTTTTGACTTGAGCGTGAGTGTTCATGCGGCTTATCTGATGAAACTGCACCGTCAATCTGGTTTGAAAACTTGCATGGATAAATAGAAAGACAGTACACAAATAGAAAGATATAAAAGCACATGAATAAGTCAATCAATCAATAAATGTGATAAATAAACAAATACCTACACAAATACACAAGATGACATAAACAAACAAACACCGAGCAAGCAAACAACCAACCAACCAAACAAACAAACAAACAACCAAACACACAGACAAACAAACAAACAAACAAACAACCAAACAAACAAACAAACAAGTAAAGATACAGCTTAAGCAGACAAACAAACAAAAGGAAGGACGAACCGACAAAGGGACAGAAAGAAACACATAAATAAATGAAGCAATAAAGAAAGAACCATAAATCCAAGCAAAGAGCGAAAGAAGGGTAGAAACAAAGAGAAAGCAAGAAGCAAAGAAGCCGCTTAAAAAAAAAAAAAAAACACCACTTGAAGGGGCTCCCTAATTTTCTCGCGCCCAAGGGCAGGTCCATATCCAGCTCGTTGTGCCTGGTGATAAAGGGTTTCGCGGAAGCGCCGCCAGCGATGGCAGTCCTCAGTGGCGAGCACGCCGCTACCCCCATGCGCAAGTGGAGTTGTTTCTTTGCTTAGTTGTGTCTTGCCTTTTGTCTTTCTTTGCTTGTTTGTGGTTTGCTCGCTTGTTTGTTTGTTTGTTTGTTTGTGTGCTGATCTTTAGTTGTTGGGCTTTTCTGGTGCTGCAAGTTGGCCTCCAAGTGTCCAACGCGCAGGCAACTCCGTGCCAAAAAGCATCTTTTGCGGGTAGGGATTGAACATCGAGGGGAGCCAAACAGAGAATCGACACATGCAAGGTGTGGTGACATTTCCAATGCGCGTTGAGGTCCACATATCTTGCCTCGTTCGAATGGAAGGCGAAATCCGACGGCCCCTTTCGATTCCGTGGCTGTCCTAGCGTTCCTTCTTCCTTGAGCGGCTTAGGTGGGGTCTAGAGCTTCGGGATTCTGAGGGAAGCCTGCGTCACAGCTTCAGAGGCTCCAATTTGGAGCTTTCTGGGGCCGCTTTTGTGGACAAGACCCGCCCTAGGCAATTCGTCCCCGGCACATCATCGGCGTCTCAACTTCCAGGAAGCCTCGGTCCTCGACCAAAAAAAAAGCGGCAAAGCGTTGTGGCTTGAAGTGTTGAAACTACCTGGGAACGTCAACTTGTCTCCAACCTACCGGGCCCCAAGCCAAAAGACTAGGAATGAATGTGTCAAAACTCGGCAAGCCGGTGCTAGGTGTGCGAATGAAGCGACTGGGTCAGCTTGGTTTCCTTTTGGTTTCCCGTTTTTGACATCTAGAGGGATCATTCATTTCTGGGAACCTTCGTTTGAGTCCTGCAAGTAGCGACGAATGAAGTTGGTAATGTGAGATCGCAGCATGAAGGTTTTCCTCACGTCGTCATTGATCATCAGGTCCAAATATCCTCAGCGTGCAGATTGGTCCGCATGGCCCAAAGCAAGGGGCTGTTGATGTCCCTACACAAGCCCTACAAGGAATGGGTGTTGGTGCGCGTGTGAACAAACACAACAGCATGCTTTGGATAGCAAAAAGGGTAGAGAATCACCTGGAGGGGTTTTTAGCGAGGCGACAAGTAAGTCCCGCAATTTGCCGCGGCTCGTGGCCAGTTGCTTGCAGTTTCCACCCATTGAATTCATCGATATCAGGGATCTATGTACTGCTGGTAAAACAGGACAGGGTGAGTCCTAGCATGGGGCATGGCAGGTTTTGAGTCCAAACAGGGGTCCTGAGTCTTAGACATACCCTAACGGTATGGTGCATGCGCTTTGGCTTGGCGCGTGCCCTGATTGAACCTGACACCCAACAACCAAAGACGGAAAGGTGAGTGGTTGGTGTGGGTAGTGGTCATCCTGGCAAGGTGTTTTGATCGCGCGCTTGCAGGGGACTCCTATCCGTCTGCCAAATGAGTCCTGTTGGAGCCCACTTTAGATTCAATACCAAACCTCAATACTGAACCAAAACTAAGCCAATTCGAAACCACCACAAATCCGACAAAAAATTGGATCGATTTCTACCGTTTCAAATCCTCGATCGGAAGTTGCCATTTTCAACGAGTTTCGGCCAGTGTAGCAGAAGCCTCCTGGTACCCGAATGTACCCTGGTCAATATTGTTCTGTCTCCAGGCGAATATTCTTGGCGAGCCCGTATCTTTTTTTGGGGAAGGGATTTGGTTGCTTCCCTTTTGGAATCAAAGAGCGTCATGTCAAGGGATCCCCGGTGTTGACTTCTTGCTTGGCAATGTGTGTGTGTGTGTGTGTGTGTGTGTGTGTGTGTGTGTCTGTGTGTCTGTGTGTCTGTGTGTGTGTGTGTGTGTGTGTTTCTCTCTGTGTGCGTGTGTGTTTGCTTTGAGGGTGTCCGTTTTGGGTTCGGCTTAAAGGGAAACCCAAAGAGGAAAACCACAATTCTGGATGTCCCCTATTTTGACACATTGGACATACCCAATAGAATATGAGAGCACCCTGTTCCCACCTTTTCATGTTCAAGTTGACAAACAATGATCATGCTGGCTTTGCCAGCATACAAGAATTATTCACCGCCAATTTTAGAAAAAGCGTGTCATTGCAGCCTTCGAAGGACACACCGGTCCCGCATCGGTCCAACGCAAACGGGGTGCGAGGACTGCTTGCCGAGCATCTCTTGCGGTACCGCGTTTCCTGGTCCTTCAGTCCTGCCAGAGTCTGGGGGGCTTCTTTGCGTCAAGATCGCGAGCCAGTCCAAGCTGCCCTCGTTGGACAAATTGTTGACGGCAAAGACGGCAAACAGCGACAACGATCGTCCAAGTGAAGCATTCCAAGCGTGAGGCATGACGACCGGATACACAACATGTCTGAAAGGTTCGACCTACCACAACAGCAAAAACACCCTGTGGTTGGCGCCTGAGTAGTCCTTCGGCAGCATGTGCAGGCACGGAGACAGCAGCTTCACCTCCCTCGGGAACACCGAGAGCTCGCCGCGCTTACTCTTGCCCACTATCCCGCGCACCCCGATGATGTCCTCAGCACGGGCAAGCAGTTTGCGCGCAACATGCAAGGGCCATGGTCAAACACCTGCAGTGAGGCATGGTCATATGCCATTGTTGTGAGGGGTGCATTTGAACTTGCGAGGCATGCTCGTCCCAAGTCTCCTCAGTGCGGCAACGCACCTTTACAACATCATCAACTCTTTTGCGTCATATCTGCCCCCACGAGTCCCACCGTGCGGCCAAGGCTCTCCACGATGGATGGTGGCATAGACTTCTTTGAAATCCGATCCTTCATACATCTTCGGACTGCACATCACCTTCCAGCTTTCTGGCTGGTGTCAGTCAACTGCGTACGAGCTGATCATGTGCATGTGTTGTGTCTGTGTTCATGTTGGCGCTTGCGGTTGTGAGTGTTGTGAGTGCCTTGTGTGTGTGTGTGTGTGGGTGCTGTGTGTTGTGTTTGCTGTTTGCGTTGGCATTTGCGTTTGGCACTGGGGTTTGCGTTTGTAGTGCAGTGCTTGCATTTGCTTGCGCGGTTGCGCTTTCGCCTTGGCTTGGGCGTGTGTGCTTTGCCTGTGCTTGTGCTTAAGCTTATGCTTGTGTTGCTTGTGCACTTATCTTTCTGTGTGTGTGTGTGTGTCTGCTCGTTGCTCTCTCTCTCTCTCTCTCTCTTTTTTGTTTCTCTCTCTCTCTCTCTATCTTGCTGCTGGGTCTGTGTGTCCGCGTGTGTCTGTGCGTTCATGCACCTGCGCGTGCATGTCTTTGCATGTCTGAGCAGTCTGTGGGCATTCGTTTTGTGCCATGTCGACAGGGCAACATTGGACATGCAAAGGCAGCCGCATTCCAGAAGATTACCAAGAAGCGTCCCCATCGAAGCTTCCCAGCCCCAAGCTTGAATCCTCACCCAAACGACCTTGGCCCGAACGCTCAAAACGGGAAGGACCCTCTCCCCTCGCCGCCTAAAACGTGCGCCTGGATCCGGTCGCCTCCTTCAACGAGGTCGTAGAACACGAGCTTCGAACCGGACGAGCGGACGCTCTTCACTCGGCCAGCGATGCGTACATCCTCCTCCCAAGTTCGGCGCACTGCAAACAACAAAGCAGGGTGCCTCAGTGTCTCGTGCTTGGATGCAACAATTGCTTCGAGCAGAAAACAACGCGGCGGCACTCGACCCGCGCAGGGTGGACAATGAAAGGGGTGAAGGATTCCCTTAGACAAGAAACAACCCTGCAAACCCAAAGGCCTGAGGAGTTGCCCTGGCTTTGACCGAACCAAAAAAGAAGAACGCCGCCGCTACACCTTCCTCTATTGCCCTTTGTAGAATTGTGTGTACTGGATTTCCTTGTAAACTTTTGCTAGAGCCTCCTTGAGGTCTTACTGCATTTGCATCCTTCCAGTTTGCTCATTCGCCCGGTGAAATGGCCGTCCATTTGCTCATTTTCTCCAGCCCAAACCTGTGGCATTGATTTCAAAGGGGAACACTGGGTACAATGACCTCCAGTCGTTGAGTAGGTCGGGAACCCCCCCACTTTGCCATCTGAGCGTCTGTGTTACCCTTTTGGGGTTTAAAGATTCATGAGAAACCAAAAGGGCACTGCCCAGATTGGGGGTGAATTGTTTTGAGGGGACCTCCAAAATGATAGTTTTCCTTTCGGTTTTCCTTCAAAACAGGGCTTCCCCCCAAAAAAGACACCGGTTTGAGGGGTCCGTTTTGAGCACCTCTTTTCCCCTTTTCGGAGCTTGTCCGTCCGGGCTCCTCGTTTGAGCGCTCGCCATCTGCGAGGTCCGAGTACTGCGCGATCAAATCCGCAACCTTCATGTCCACCTCCCAGGCGTGGGGATACGCCTCCACGCCGTCCTGGGAAAGCGAAAGGCGCCGGTTCCATGGATCTGGCGGAGATCGCCGGAGCGAGCCGTTCCAGCCTGTGACGTTCGTTCTTGGGTGATCACTTGAGGGGTCACCCTGGACCTTGACTGAATTGCTTTTTCCCGTCGGGAAAACCAGGTGGTCTGGCTGGCCAACATTCGAGAATTTCGCAACAAGTTCAGCCAACCCCAGCATCCTCAAGCTAGGAAACAGGTTTCGGCCCTGCCTGGCGCAGCTGCTTCATCCGGTTCTCCCTGTATGCGGTTGGGTCCACCTGTCGATTTGGGGAACCCGCTCGAATCAGAGGGTGAGCCTGGCTACAGATTCGGGCCCCAGTACCGTCAAATGTGGGGATGCAAAGGAATGGCCCAGGGGCCAAAAAACGGTGGATGCTCCGGATATTGTAAGGGAGCAGTACCTCCGTTTGGGGCGGCCGTATTTCCGGAAAGGGAGCCACAATGCCCATCGAAGTGCTTCCACACTTCGTTGGCCGACAACACATTCTTGCAATCAGGGCACTATGCTGGAATAATATTACTACATTTTCCTTTACTTGCAATAGGGCCGCCCAATCTCCGGCCATCCCGCTTCGCCTTCTCCTCCGTCTTGGCAACTTTGGCCAAAGCGACATGCGCACTGCGCGAACCTGCACTGCTCAAGACAAACGGAATACAATAAAAGACCAGCGGCGAGTCACTTGCAAAAGGACGATTCGCATGAATCAATATGGGGACAAAACTATTGCTTTGTTCAGTCCACTTACAATCGATTCGATGCTTTGACTTGCTTAGAAAGGGGCATGAACCTTCGGCTGAGCCAAAATCGAGACCCGGTATGAAGGGTTCATTGCCATGCTGAGTGCGTCCCCGCCGTGCCTCTCCAAGTTGCCGAGCGACACGGCAAGCCAGGAACAAACAGTTCCGGCCTCGAATGGTTTCAGAAAGCAAGCATGGTTGAAAGCAACATTGAGTTCAGCAAGACATGAAGATCTCGCGGGTGTGAGGCAGGTTTTAGACCGACCCCATGCAATGCGATCAACCCGCCTCCGCCGCAGCAAAGCCGCAAGCATCAGAAAAACAATGACCACCTGCGTCCTTCCGCGCACCAGCGCCGCGGAAATTCACAAACATGGCCGCCCGTTTTCGGAACCCCAGAAAAAACAACCAGCAACAAAAAGCGCCAAGGTCTCGAGAGCAGCTCCTATCTGCCCGTGTGTTCAAACCCCCCCCCCAAAAAAAAAAAAGAAAACAGAAAAAACAACCAGCACCAAACAGCGCCAAGGGCTCCAGCGCAGCTCCTATGTTTGGCATCCCACCAGGCATCAACACTCGCACTCTCGCCACTGCCTACATCGCATCTGCGCCATCAGCCCAGCGCGCAACGTGGCCGAAAGCCAAACGCTTGGGGCTGCGTGTGGTAAAGTCTTGATTATTGACTGTTGACTCTTAAAAAAAGCAGCAAACCACTGCACGGATGCAGTGAATGAAATATCTCATATGAGTCCAATTTCTGAGCCGAAATGTCGGCTATGAGGAAATGTACTCGCCGGGGGGACTTCCGACAGCCCCAAACAAATCCAAATCCGCGAAAGGAAAGCCACTTGGTACCCTCATTTTGCAACTCACAAGGGATTCAACCCGTCAAGACTGGTCCAAGGCAAAAGCTGTGGGGTCGTGGCGCGTTCAAGGATTCGCGTGGGAGCCAGTTGCCAACCCCAGCACGTTGAATCAGGTTGTCCACATCAGGGTTCCCCATATTTACCCTTTAAGCCTCACCCCGAAGGAAACTCCCTTTGAGTTGGCAACCCGAAGCTGATGGTTCACCAAAACGAGGACATAAGTACAACCATGCGCATGGAAAGGAGCTTTGCCAGCCGCATGGACTCCTCTGGCTACGCGTTTATGCGTTTGCTTGGCAGTTGCGCATGTGCGGATCTGCTGCATGTCGCCCAAGCCCGAAAACTGAGCAGCGCCCTTGCTTCTGACATGGTTATAAAGGTTTGTCTGCCCGTGGGTCAAGACTAGGTACCCAAAATGGAACCTGGTAAATGGAAACATGGACTAAAACCTGCGGTCCCCTGGTGGTTTAAATTTGACCCAGACCCATATAGGCTTTGTAATAACCCAAATTGCACCAAAAATGGCCAACGGGGGTTTGCGTGCGCAATCTGAGAAGGGCCGTGCAAGAAGGCAGTGGCGTCGTCTGAAGGGCCAAATACTGCGAGAATGAGGCTTACAAATACCTGAAGCCTACTTCCGCGTGCGGTGATGAGGTTGCGACACAGCAGGCCCCAAACTGACTTGTCACATTGGAGAGCTGTGATTTTTCGATCAACTGCGGGTAGGACCGATGTGATGCACCTGGAATTGCAGGGCGATCGCTTTCAGCTGCTTGAAGTTTTGGGGCATCCGCGCCGCGTCAAGCACTATGAGCTGGCATGCGTTGAGGATTGGCATTATTGATCCTTCAGCTTTCATTGTGCGAAAATGCAATACTGTTGCAAATGATGACTCGCAGGGTGGCGGAGGTGGAACCGGGAAGGGGAATGTTTCGCGCTGGATCGCTGATCGGCATTCTGCCATTGACAGAGGGCTAAACGTGGTCGCCGCACAATATGTCAAGGCGCAGGACCTCTTTGTAGCGGAGTCCAGCCTAGAGCAGACAATCTTGTGGCTTGGACTGCCTCTCAATCAAAGACGCTGCCTGCGGTGAGGCAGACGCTTCCAGTTGGTTGGGCCTCGGGCGCCTGCTTTGGCAAACAGCAATGAGGTGAATGTCGCCAGTGTCAGCAGCCACAGGACGCAAGAGGTCGAAGTACAGCGTTCATGGTCGATCGCAAATCCTCAGTATACCTGCATCATGCTGGTATGGTCATAGTAGCATGTCCGTTCCTGATCAATCAGTGTGTTATAAGTTATAATTACTCAAGATCAACCGTTTTCCCCTCTCATGAATGTACCAAAAGCAAAACGTGAACATGGGAGCCATCCAGCCAACCAAATAACACCAGAGCCCGGCCCCACATGTGTTGCTCCATGCCGGGCGAGGGAGACATGAGGAATCCTGATCCTCAAAGCAACCCAAGCAAGGGACAAACAGCCGCGACGGCGGCGTTTGGAGCCAAGATAGCTGGGTTTGCTCAACTGCCGTTTAAAAAGAGCCCTCACCGTGTGTCGTCCTGCTGATTGGAGCGCAATGGGTCCCAAAAACTGACTTGGAGAACAGTTGAAACCTGGCAAACCTGCAAGGTGACTGCTGTCAATTTTCTATGCTGGGACGGTCCCCCTCACGGGAAGGCGGATAAACGCTACCAAATGAGTTCCCGTCCCGCCAAATAACTCACTTCCGGCTCCACCAATCCAAATTCATTGACTGCTCACAAACGCAAACTGCCCGCTTTGTCCCCTGGTTTCCTCCAAACAAACCACTCTTATTGGGAGGAAACCAGGGGAGGGGGGGTTTGGTGTGTGTGTGTGTGGAATCGTATCAACAAAAGCAAGCTGGATTCTTTGGGAACGAGGGAAACCGTCTTGCAAGTCTTCGCATCTGTGCTTTTCGCAGACCAGTTGGACGCCCCGATCGGACCTGACGAGTTGATTGACCGTCCCCTCTCGGCCACCACTTGCCCCAGCCGGAGAAACGGAGCGCGGTGCGCCGCGGTCCTTTTGACCCACGGAACGGCATGCGGCCAGTCGTGAGACTCGGCAAGGTACCAATGTAGCGCCAAGACTCAGCGGACTTAGACCTCGTCCGTGACCAATGGCCCAAGCCCCCCAAGCCCGCCCAAGCCTCCCTAAAAAGCTGTCTGGCACATCTTTGAAGGATGGCTGGTGGACAAAGAGCATGCAAGAGCATCGTGCTCAAGGAGGCCCTGCTTTTGGGGTTTCTCAATTCCCATTTCGCTACTCGCCGTCGCAATCTAGTTGCTGATCCTTCCTGCGGGAAAACGAAAACCAGTCGCCTTCCCCCCGCCCACAAATCCTTTAAAGCCTTCGCAAAATACATGGGCGCGTCCATTTGCTGGGCAAACTTGAAATTGCTTGCCGCTCGCTAGCGCCGGTAGTGACCGGCAATATTGAAACATGGTCCATCCCCCTCTTTCCAAGCCAAACATGTTTGAGCTTGAAAAGAGAACCACAACAAAAACGCTACTTGGGGGAGTCCGACCTGAAAAAAACACCTCCTGAGTCCCCTGATTCGGGGGGACATCGGGCCCCCGGCAATGCGACCCATCCGCCGCATCCAGCGCCGGGACCTGGCCCCGCGAAGTCCGCCGGACGGGGAAACGTGGGCTATGCGCACCAAAGGGGGGTTCACAACCACTATGAAACCGCACAAAGGGTATAAGACCACCATGAAACCACAGAAAAAGGTATAAAACTATGAAAAAAGCAACAACAAAAAGGACTAAGACCACTATAAAACAACAGTCTCATTGTTCGTGGAATGCAGGTTGGGTGTGGGTGCTGGTGTGGCTGTGGCTGTGGATTCTTCTTTGTCGTTGCCCAGGAGGGGAGATTCATGCAGACGGGCTCCAGAAATTGTATCGTATTGGAAAGGGGGATCTATGAAGGGCGCTTCCCTGGCTATATTTTGGCCATGGTGGCATGTGGCTTGTTCTCTGGTGGAACCCCTGTTTGCGGACCTCTCGTCAAAACTGGAGGCTGCCAACGTCCCTGCGGCCACCAAAAAACACCGGTTGCGCTCACGCTCTGGTAAGGGAACCTTTCTGGGCTCTTGCATCGTGAGTTGGAATGTATTTTCTGTGGTTTGGTTGAGTTCATTCTATCATTCGCCCAGCACGGACTCCCCATCAAAGAGCAACTACCATATACCAGTGATGATGTCGAGTTTTGCCGCAAAAGCGTCAGACCTCATTCCACTTCAGCCTTACAGCCAATCGCCGGATGGCGCGCAGCTGAGCAACCCAGCTGCTTGCTCTTTTTCTCAAAGCTACCCTGAGAGGGAGCTTAGGACCAAACCTAAGCAAAATCAAGTTCCAAACCCCTCCGGGCTGCCCCGCTTGGGTCCTGGGCGCTCCTTGCCATAGGCCTCCTGGCGCGTTTGGGCGAGCAAGGTGGTGTGTCGGGTTTTGTCTGTCTTCTTGGCTCGTTTTGGCGCAAAGGAAGCGGGCTCAGAGCTAGGGAGCGCCTGGGGAGAAGTCTACCAAATGCAAAAATGTTGGAGGAAGAATTTGGGTGGTGAACACGAAAGTTCTTGTGCCGTTGGGGAGAGACCCTTAGGGAGACCCTTAGGGAGGGCTTAGGGTGGAAACTGCAATTTCAAACCAAAATTAGGCCCCCATCTTAAATGTGGACGATTTTGTCCAGCAGTAAACAAGAGGCCAATGCAGCCTTCCCCAATTTTTGCTTGATTGGCCCCTGAGCCCGGCTGGTTTGATCCGAAGTGGGCAGCATTCAAGGGGGAACGCCAAAACTTGCTCAGGGAGGTCTTAGGGAAAAATTGGCTAGGGGGACTGCCTAGGAACCCTAGAGAGTGGATATAGTCTGAAAGGGGGGGGGTTGACCATTTCAGAAGAAAGGCTTCCCTTGGTTTCCTTGGAGGCCAGAACATCCAATAGGCACACGGGAGCTCCCCACGGGCAAAAACAAGACAAGAGCGCGCATACGTGGCAAACACACAACAAAGCCACAAAGACATGAGGGATGTCGACGCCGGGATTCGTGAACCCGTCCTATTAATAGGGGGACCTCTGGGTTTATTAGGACAACTTATTAATTCGGCCTCAACATTTCAATCACTCTCTCACACACACACACGCACAGACACACAGACACACAGACGCACAGACACACAGACACACAAACACACAAGACACACAGACACACAAGCAAACAAACAAACAAACAAGCAAGCAAGCAAACAAACAAACAAACACACACACACACCCACACACCCACACACCCACACACACACACACCCACACCCCCACACCCCCACACCCCCACACCCCCACACCCCCACACCCCCACACCCCCACACCCCCACACCCCCACACCCCCACACCCCCACACCGACACCCACACACGCCCACACACACCCACAGACACACAAACACACCCACACGCACACGCGCACGCGCACGCGCATGCGCGTGCGTACGCGCGCGCGCGCGCGCACGTGCACGCGCGCGCACGCGTAGCGGACACGTGCACACGCGCAGAGACACAGAGACAGACACAGAGACAGACACAGAGACAGACACAGAGACAGACACAGAGACAGACACAGACACAGAGACAGACACAGTGAGAGACATAGAGAGAGACACGAAGAGAGAGAGAGAGAGAGAGAGAGAGAGAGAGAGAGAGAGAGAGAGAGAGAGAGAGAGACACAGACAGACACAGACAGACACAGACAGACAGAGACAGACACAGACA